TATGACAGTTATCGGATCCTCTCAACACATTCTTACATACTGTGGCTTGCATCTCATCTCTCCACCAGTTCCACAGTAACTGGCTATATTTGACTTCCCATCTCCTGTTGGCTCAGCAACTGGATCCAGTGCCAGAAATAATCTCATTTTCTAGTTAGGCAGAATTCAATAGGCTCTAATTTAAATGGCATGTGAAAATAATTCAGCATAGAATCAAGCAATAGATAGATTAGATGATTCCTATCGAGTTAAGATGTACCCTGACTTTGAGTTATACCTCATCTACCAAAATAAAGTGATTAATTTGAAAGAAATGATGAAATAACCAGCCCCATTCGGAGGGCATTGATTCTCTGTCATAGAACTCATGTTGCCTTTGCTACTGTTTCAGAAGAATCCTCCTAGATGACTACAGCACCAAGTCTCCAAATCCCCACAAAAATCTCAGGTCAGAGATCTCAGCCCACTGAAATGATAAATCAGCTTTGCTTAGGATTATATAATTGTCTTCTCAGTGAGAAGGGTCTTTTAAACCAAGACTGAATATATGAAGGATTAAGTAAATCAAACCCATAGTATAATGCTTTCGTGTTAGGTTTAAGAATATTCCATGCCTGTTTAGTATGTAAAACAGATGTAATATTTAAGATTTGTTACATTAGAGACGCTAACATACTAATTTATGATTCTAACTTAAAATACATAAATGGATGATTGATGTTAGATTTGTTGATTTTAAGGTAAAAGTTATTAGAAAATTTGCTGAGTGAATATTTAAGAAAAGGAGGATCTATTACATTAAATACATGTTAGATTTACTAGAATTATCTAAATATGTGAGGTTTAGTAAGATTTGAAGTATTTACAATATTCAAATAATTTAAGAGTACATTTTAAAATTATTTAAGACAATTCAACTATGTTTAATAATGGGATAAATAATAATCTTGAAAATAACTATTAATAGGTAAATAATTTAGTCCATTTTAACAGTCATTTAGAAGATGAACTTAAGATTTATAAGTGGAACTTATAAAAGTGGACAAAAGGTACAAACTTTCAGTTATAAGATAAATGGGTACTGGTATTTCTTTTTTTTTTTTTTTGTATCTGTATGAGATAATGTTAACTAAACTTTCTGTGGTAATTAAATAATTACCACAATACATGTAAGTCATTATGCTGTACACCTTAAACATACAGTGCTGTGTGTGAATTATATCTCAATAAAACTGAAAGAAAAAAACAGTTGAACTTAAAGATGTAAGGAGCAATTAGGTTTTAAAATTTATAAACCTCAATGTAATACCTACACAGCTTTTTCTGTGAGTAAGAGCTATGGAAACCACAAATTGACTGCTTCACCCAAGTAAAACCTCTGCTAGACCTTCTAGTTCACAGATCTCAAATCGTTTGGGAAAGCAGATGTGGTCCTCTTTTAGTTTCCTCCTGCTGATGTAACTGATCACCACAGATTTAGTGATTAAAAACAGCAAAAATTTGTTCCAGAACTGTATTCTAAAATCAAGGTGCCAGCAGGGCTGCATTCCTTCTGCAGACTTCAGGGGACAAGCTTTCCTTGCCTTTCTCAGAGGCCTCCTGCATTCCTGGGCTCCCAGCCCCTTCCTCACCTCACTCCAAAATCTTGCTTCTTTCTTCACCTCTCCTACTCTTTTTTTTTTTTTTTTTTGCGGTACCCGGGCCTCTCACTGTTGTGGCCTCTCCCGTTGCGGAGCACAGGCTCCGGACGCGCAGGCTCAGTGGCCATGGCTCACGGGCTCAGCCTTTCCGCGGCATGTGGGATCTTCCCGGACCGGGGCACGAACCCGTGTCCCCTGCATCGGCAGGCGGACTCTCAACCACTGCGCCACCAGGGAAGCCCTACCTCTCCTACTCTTGATCCTGATCCTCCCGGGCCCTTTTTTTAAGGGCCCTGGCAATTACATTTAGGTTTACCTAAACCATCCAGGATAATCTCCCCATCTCAAGATCCTTTTACCATGTAAGGTAGCATAGTCACAGGTTCTGGGGAGTGAATCAGTACTTCATGTGAGCTAAAGGAACGTCCAGAATCAAAACAATCTATCGTGCTGGTACTTGGCCACTTTCTGACTCAATTGTAATTTGGGAGAGTGTAGGTTAGTAACCAAACCACTGACCAGAGTTCTCTAGTTTGATTTCCCAGCAGCTATTGGTTGCAGGAGATTCTCTGCATAATCAGCCTAGTTTGAACCATCCTGCACTTTGAAATGGTAAGTCAGAGAACCTGTTCTGCACTAGTTAGTATTTACATTGGATTTCAGGAGCCAAAAAAGATCTGTCTCTGGTTGGTTGATTCCCTTCTTTGCAACCCACTTTGTATTCCATATTTTGATGGACCAGAGTTTTAATAAAATGAAAAAAAATTTTTTTTTAATTAATCCAAAACTTAGAAATAAGGCAAAAAGATTACCATACTCTTTCAAAGTCATACTAGGGCACTGTCCACCAAGTCCACTGAAAGATCATCTGATTTTTCTAGAGGAAGATGTAACTGACTTCTGCTTACTATCACTTAGGCCCCAGACTCCATAAAGTTCGATGGTAATGTGTAGAAAATTAGTTTGCAAGTTTTTCAGATTTATACTCCTTTGAATCAGCTTTGGAGCCTTCTGGTTCCTTAATCCTGACTTAAATAAATCTTTAAGTGATCACGATATAATTACATACATTGTTTTTAACTTTTTAAAATTATACTTTGACATCAGGCTTCCCTGCTAAGGAAAAACAAAAAATTTTGCTCCTATGAAGTATGTTCGAAGCCAGCTTGGGTTAACTATTAGAAAACCGCATGGATATTAAGAGAACTATATAAAAATTACATGTGGAGGCGATATAGGTATCTGTTAGGTAAATTTAACCATGTGATTAGCCATAATCCACATATTGATGCTTTTATATTTGGTCATCTGTAAATTAAGAAGTAGTGTTAAAAATAGGCAGAATGTTAAAAAAAAGATATTAAGAGAATGAAAAGGCAAGCCACAGACTGGGAGAAGGTTGCAAATAATATATCTGATAATGGCTTCTGTGCAGAATAAACAACTCTTGAAACTCAATCATAAGAAAATCCAATTAAAAAATGAGCAAAATATTTGAACACTTTGCCAAGATCTAAAGATGGCAAAAAAGCACTTGAAAAGATGTTCATCATCATTAGTCATTACAGAAATGCAAATTAAACCCACAACGAGACACCAATTAGAACGTCTAAAATCAAAGAGTGACCAGATCAAATGTTGGTAAAAATGTAGAGCAACTAGGACCCTTACGCACCAACAGTGGGAAATGTGAAATAGTACACTTTGAAAAAGTTTGCCAGTTTCCTAAAAAGTTCAATGTACACTTACCATATGTCCCAGCCATTCCACTACTAATTTTCTTAGTTTACCCAAGAAAAGTGAAAGTAAATGTTTATACAAAGACACATGTAAACATTCTAGCAATCCAGCCGCTTCATTTGTAATAGCTAGAAACTGGAAACCACCCAAATGTGCACTAACAGGGAGTACATAAACAAATTGTGATACATCTATACTATGGAATACTACTCAGAAATAAAAAGGAATGAACCATTGATACAATGAAATGAATAAATCTCAAAATAATGGTGCTGAGAGATTATATACAATTCTATGAAAGTAAAGCAACAGAAAGCAACTCAATGGTTATCTGGAGGTAGATAGTGGAATTGAAGGGAGGGATTACAAAGGGCACTAGGAAAATTGGAATGATGGATATGTTTACTATCTTGATTGTGGTGATTGTTTCACAGGTGTATACACACCAAAGCTTTTCAGTTTGTTCACTTTAGGAATTCCCTGGCGGTGCAATGGTTAGGACTACAAGCTTCCACTGCAGAGGGCACGGGTTCAATCCTTGGTCGGGGAAATAACATCCCACATGCCATGTGGCTCAGCCAAAAAAAAAAAATTGTACACTTTAAACATGTACAGTTTAATATGTGTTAGCTATAGCAACATAAAGCTGTTAAAAAACAGGCAGGATGAAACCTTATTTGGGTATGTTTCTCAGAAGAAATCGGAATGTTCAGCCACTGAAGTCCTAGAGCATAGCATAACTCGTAAGTTGAAGTACCTTAAATTCCTAAACTTCCATACAAAATTTGAACTTTGTACATATGTGTAATTCTTCAACGTAGGTATCATTCATCACATTCTCAAAGAGGTTTTTGAAAAAAGGAGTTAAAAATCACTACTTTAGAGGAATCTAGATAAAGAATATAATGAAAATTGCTTATCCCACACAAATTAGAGTACCTCTCAACTTTTTAAAGAAGAGCACAACTTAAGTACAATGTGTAGATTATCCCAATTACCTGTCAGTCAATGGAGTACATACTCCATTGTGTTTTTTTCCAACACCACCAAGCAATTCTCCACTTCTCAGCAGAAACTGATTTGATGTCCTAAAATGTAACTCAATTCTGACACTATTTACTTGGATATAGCATCAGATCCCACAGCTTACAGGCTGTACCAAAAACCTTCAACACCCACTCCCCCTCACATGCTGATCCAGAGTTCAGATTGCTACCTGTGCTTCCAACCGAACATAGGGGCTACTCTTCATTGCAGTGCACGGGCTTCTCGTTGTGGTGGCTTCTCTTGTTGAGGAGCATGGGCTCTAGGCACACGGGCTTCAGTAGTTGCAGCACATGGGCTCAGTAGTTGTGGCTCGTGGGCTCTAGAGCACAGGCTCAGTAGTGGTGGCGCATGGGCTTAGTTGCTCCATGGCATGTGGCTCTTCCCAGACCAGGGCTCGAACCCATGTCCCCTGCACTGGCAGGCGGATTCTTAACCACTGCGCCATCATGGAAGTCCCATCTCATTCTTAATCATAAAAATTCCTCTCTTTGTTTGCCTAGGTGAGTTTCTAGCACTTGCAGCAAGATTGTTAAAACAAATTTTATCTTAAAAAAAAAAACACAGTTCACGTCATATTGGAAAAGTAATTATTTATTATGACAAAAATAAAACTGTTGACTGAAAACAAATGAATGTTACACTGTATTGCACCATGACTGCAAATGAGCCAAAACCTGTCTAAAAGATGAACATTCCAGAGCAAACAGCATCCTTTCACTTGGGTAAGTAGGCATGCAAGCAACTCATTACAGCATAATTGCAGAAATAAAAAATTATGAGTACCAGTAACCTAAACTTAACATATAGAAGCATTTTATGACAGTAATAAAGTTATTAAAAATTTAAAACATGTCTTTTCAACAACCCACCATTAGAAGAACGTGCTTTGAACCACTTTCAAGAAGTGATGATGTGAATGCATTAATTTGTTTGTTCTTTTAATTTTATTAATGCTTATATATTGAACCAACAGCACACATCTCAGTTGTTTGGTTGGGTTTAAGAAGCACAGTTTGTGGCTCTGAAAGACATTTTTTTCCTCTGTACGATACCAGGGGGCCCCCAGAGAGATCCAATTCATAATTTTGGCCTTATTAACACCATCTTCACTTGACCAAGCTGATTGGCTAAGATATTGTTACAGTGTTTGCAGAAAGCCTGAAGCTTGATGGATAACAATAATTTGTATTTAAACCTTAAGAAATGAACATAAATATAAATAGACACTTTAATGTAGTTTTACATTCTGAGGCAAGAAGTATATAGGGCCTGCTGTTTCCTCTTTAATGCTCTAAAGCACCAATTTATGTTAAGATGGCAATGTGTAATTATAATCATTATATTCTGATAGAACAATTGCAAGAGCAAGGCTGTAACTGCTTTTAGTTTTAGTTTTTTTAACCATGCTCTGTACAATAGATGAATAGGGTAAAATTTGTAACTATTACATAATTGGAAATATCATAACCGTCATTTTATTTCACACTTTTAATGAAATAGCAGCTCAACTCTTTTAAAAAGTCAAAATGAAAAGTTTTCCTAACTACACTGAACAGTTTACTCCAAGAGAACAAAACAGGGGCTGTAGAATCCCTGCATTTCCTGAAGGAAAATGTAAGAAGATTAAAATGATTATAGTCTCTTATAAAAAGGGCTAAAATATGCAAATAAATTATAAACATAACCAACACCAACTGATAGTCATTTGATATCTTACCAACACTGATGGAAATATATTCACAGTATAATAAAATCAATCAAATTTTAGAGTTTTTCCTTTCCCTTACTTGATTTTAATTAAACTGATTAAATATTGACTATGCACTTGCCCATGTGCTTTAATGAAGACAGTATGTGGATTTGCTACACCATGTTAGCCCTGCTAGTGGTAAACAAGAGTAAAAGAAAACAAAATCTCCAAGGAATGCTCTCTCTTAGTTGTGAATTTTGCATATTTCAAATACAGGTTGGGTGAAGGGGATTTTTATGGGATTGTGCAACATCCCACAGACTAGAGCAAAGCACCTTATGTATGGACTGAAAAATGAGGTAATTTTTTAATTAAAATTTTACAAGTTTGTGCAAGAGAACATTTCCATTCTTCTAGAATTTTGTTTTCTATTCCAAAAGATATGCACAGCACATTTTATTATTTCTCCATTTCTAGGGAAGAAGGTAGATTACTGGTTTATAAAAATGCAAAAGGTGCCACTCTCTGACTACACTCCCAAATTCTAGAAACCTGATCAGTCTTCAGTCCTTTGGTCACATTAAAAATAATATAGGCCATCCAGTTTTATAGTAAAAGACTGAATTTTCTAGTAATTTTAAGTCCTTGAATGGGGGCAATTCAGTGTTTTCATTCAAATTTCCTATTGGAGATTTTTTATCTTATATTAATCTTTACTGTCAAGTTCTTTGACTTTTGTTTCTAGGTATGCCTCTAAATCTCCAATTAACATTTCCCAAACATTTCACTAGACCTTATACATTTAAAGCTGATTTTAGGTCTGTGGAACACAATATTTTTTCTACTTTAAATTTAAAACAAAGTAGCTGAAAAAAGATTATTTTTATTGGCCTTCTCTATTTATCTCTGGTTACCTGAAACTCTTAAAAAATACTTTTTGGGAAACTGGCTTTTAGATTTCAGTCTTCACAATAATGCTAAATGAATAAGGATGAGACATTACTGAAAAAAACTAACCTTGAATATAAAGTACTTCCAGATTTATACAGACATTTGTAAAATATTGACATCCTCACTGCACTATCCTTTTCACTACTGGAAAGTCAAACAGAACTGGAGCTTGGGGCAGCCTCTAAAGCCAATAAACTCTGAACAAACTAACCACTTGCATCCAGTTAGTAAAAGCCAGGAAAACAAGCAAGACAGTTTCCAGAAGAGAGTATTTCCAATATACACTGGTGTTTTATAAGTAGATTAAATATCATCTTCTTAGCAATATGGCTTATTTTCTTATTTGCATTGTCATTAACTATTAGCTCAATGTAAGTGGAGTAGCAGTTACTAGTTGATGCTTTGTTTTCTTATTTGTATTCATATACTAAATGAAATGATAATGAGGTGGGAATCAAATAATAGATAAAAATAAACGTAATTTCATATTACATGTCTTCCCCTCATTTGGTTTGGTTTTCTTGTGTTTGTTTTTTAGTTTTTAGTAGTAGTGTATAAAGGTTCAGGATTTTAAAGCCAAAAGATGTGTTGGTGCTCTAGTTTAAGTTCCTCAGTATGGGAAAAATAGTAGGAAGGCCATGAACGATAGTAATTGTCTAAGGTAAAACAGGTCACGGCCAAATTAAGATTCAAACCTACTTCTTTAGATAGCCAGCACAATATTCTACTGGATACAAGTCATCATGCTGTATCTCGAAGTGACTCTACTCTGACAAAATATAAAAGATCCTTTAGAAGGGAACTAGATATGAAATGTTTTGGATCCAAAGCCATAGATGAAAAGTTAGGCTCATTAAGTTGGTCTTCAAAGATAAATGTCAATGGAATTCATCTATTCTAGGTATAATACCAGTACATTTTTTCTACTGGTATTGTTTTACATAGTTAATAATTAAATGAGTGCTAGTCAGAGACAATTCCATTTATAATTTGTCCTAGGATACTACATCAAAAATATTTTTTTAAAAATAAAGCTTTTATTGTTTTAAAATTTTCTTTGCCTTGTGACTCCCCATAACTCTTCAGAGAATAATGTTTACAGCACTGCCTATATCACTCACTGTTTCCATAGGAAAATAATTATTTTCTCTTTATGCTATAGGTAATGAAAGTTAATTTATGCTTAATCAAAATGACTACAGCTACAGAAGTAGCATCCATTTCAAAAATGATTTTTAACAATGAAATTTCAATTTATTATCATTCCTCTAATGAATATAGAATAAAATTATACCTTTAAGCATACTACCAAAGAACCTAAAAGCAAAACTTTGTATTTAATCGTGTTATTCAATAGATTATAGATATATTATTTCAAATTTTAAGGAATTAAATTACACTAACAATACAAAATATGCAGTATGTTCCCATATAAAAGGGCTTATTAATTCTAAAAGAGTTCTCAGATGGGCTTCAATAAGAAAGATGAGTTTAAATATGAAGAATGCAACATGTTCAAAATTAAGAAAAATGCCTTGAACTTACAAGGGTAGCAGTTACATTTTAGTTATAACAAAATGTTTGTTAAAATTTAGTTTCTTCCTCTTCACATTAAAAACAAAATGTAGAATAACCTCCCGAAAGTAACATGGGTGGATCCCCTGCTTTCCACCACTTAGAAACTTCGCTAGGCAATTGAGGGATTGATTAGGGAGGGTGAAAGCTGAACTATTTCATTGTTAAATTAATTACCTGCTAATATGACTTCTAAAGAACAGGTATAATACAAAATTGAGAACTTATCTCAAAATATGAATAAAGGCACTAATCACAAATTTACATTTTTCATCAGACAATATCTTATAGCTGGTTGATTTTCAATAAATGTCAGAATCAATGCTTTAGCGTTAGATACGTGCTTGAGTCAAAACATTCTCTTGGAGTAAAGGGTAATCAGTTTTCATATTACTGTAAGAGGAAATATCTAATGAGAACCTATAAAATACTTTTTAAAAGTCTTACATGAATTTCCTAATTGAACTTTTCCCAATCGTTGGCACAAAACCTAGTTGGATGTTGATTTCATCTTCAACACACAGCTAACATAAATCTAATCCAAAAACAACAAACTGTTTTTCAAAAAGGATTTAGAAAATAAAATAAATTGTATTTTAAAAATCAAATTGAAAACTTGAGTTTATACTAGTAGTTTGACAAAATACAATCAACTATTAACACTTTCAATATAATGCTGATGCGGTAATATAAAAAAATAACCATATAATTTGACAGAAGAAAATGGAGCCAGCCAATCTTATTAGATACAAGAAAGATTTCATAATAACAACAAATATAGGAATATTAAATATGATTTTTCTCAGGACAGAATTCAGAATTCAGAGTATCCTCAGTATTCATGGCTAAACTATACAACCAAGATAGAAATTCTGGCAAAGTGTGCTATCATAATTTCTCCTGCCCCACCACCACATACACAACACAAAGCATCCATATTGATTCATGTCTGCTTTTCTCTCATGTTCTTGATTATGCATTGTATTAAAAACAAAATTTATCCTCTACCTGGTATAGAATCACTAAGAAAAAGGTTCAGAACAAGGTTAATGAACAACTCCTTCCCAAAGCCCAGAAAGCTTTCCTCTGGTCATTTCCAGTTCCAGGGTGTGCTACCACTAAACAGAAATCAGAAAAATGCTACCACATTCAACTAAATTAATTAGACTAAATAGAATAAATCAAGTATAACTGAAAACAGCAAAATTTAAACCAACTTACGATAAAAAATATTAAAGTATCACTTTTGAACAGGTACTGATGTTCTTATGAACACTGAATCCTATTTTTGACCCAGATGAAAGAAAAATACTGCAAAAATAAAGTATTATTCTCTATGTGTGTTTTATCCCTTTCATAATAGCAAAATCACACATTTGAAATAAAGAGGATCAAAATTACAATACCTGTCCTCCCTCTTAAGGTATGCACTATTTAGATTATTGTTCATATTAGACGACTGCCTTGAAAATGTTTTAATGCTATCCAATAAGTATACTTTTGCTAGATTATGAGTTTTTAACTATTTAAAAATTTTTTAAGTTGTTAGTGTATTAAACTTGAGTCTCATAGTAATATTCTAAAAGCCATGATTAAATTCAGCAGTTTCCTATTATCCAGCAAAAGATCTTAGAACATGAGGCATAATTATACAAATGTCAGTTGTTTCAAGCCTATTACACTACAACCTCTAACAAATTCAAGGAAAGCCATATGGTTTTTTAAGTAATATACTGCTGGTGATAGAAATGCTGTAATAGACACAATTTCAAATTCTAAGAAATAAAATGAACTGTTTGTATTCCTGCTTTAGCTATTGCCCAAAGCAGATGCGGTGCCCCTTGCAAATGGAATAGTTGAAATTTTTGCTGATAATAAAGTTGTTTGTAATTGATAGTAAAATATATTCCAAGTGTCTTGGTTTAATTTTAGTGCTGGTATGCTTTAGTAACTTCCAATTGTTATATATGCATTGAATAATGTGACATTCTTAAAAATACCAGATTTATTCAAAATATTTACTATCAAAGTTGGGCTTTGAAATAAATATTTTATTTTGATTCGTTTTTAACCAAAACTAATCCTGTGCTGCAGGCAGAAAAGTGAACTTAATTCTTTTAGATAAATAGCCTACTTAATTTCCATGCTAATAGAAACTTAAAATTATTCCATGACTTGCAATAATGTGGGGGAAATTAACTCATTTAAAGGCAGTTCTCATGATGTTTCATCCTCCCCCTTAAATACATATCTTCTAGGCATATTTCTTTCTCATTTACAATAAGTTCTGCCCAAAAGATAAATAGTTTACAGAGGGAGCAAATATTTAGTGCTGGGTAAGTTTGCAAACAGTACGTGATAATTTCCACTACTGCTCTGTCAAGCCAATAATTATCTGGTGGGGGGAGGGGGCAGTCAAGAAATGAAAGGAACTGGTCATTAAAGTTATTACAATACTTCAGAAAACATTAAACATATGATAAACATTTCTTACAAGGCAGTCGTTGAATAATTAGAATAAGCAGTCAGAAGAATTCTGTTGCTGAAAATAGTTACACATTATGTTCATCCAACTGAAGATTAGTGCATTAAAAAAAAAAGTTAAGAAAAAATCTTTTATGTTCCAGTTCAGCTGCACTTGATTCAAGTGTTGCTCATAGAGGTTTGTGTTGTTATAAATTAAACATGCTGCTGCCTTAGCAGCCAAAGGTACTAGGAAAAATGTTCATGTCACAGAATAAATAGAGAGTCTCTTTCGAGCAAAAAGTTATCTCACACCAATCCGGGAGGTCATCCACTCTAGACCTTGGCATAACCTGAAACAAAAAAAGTATTTTCAAAATGAAAAACTTTATACTTAAAAATTGAAAGTATACTTATTATTTTTAAGTCTTAACGCAAAAGTCGGTTCTACAATAATTATTCATACATTTAACTGCCAACATTCAGGTAACACTATAATAAGTAGACTTTCTAAGTGTAAGATTATCTAAACAAAATGATACTAATCAGTTGAGAATTGTGGGAAACTGCTTTAGTCTCATCTTGAAGATACAGCTTTGGGGGTTTTGCCATTAAGACTATAACTATCCCACCCCCGCCTTAAGATTAACTAAACTGGGGGCGCGGGGTTCGGGGGTTTCTGCTCCCACTGGTGAGGTGTGCCTGGAATGGTGGATGTCGAACTGCGTGCTTGGTGGCTTGGTGAATGGATGCGGGAGAAAATGGTGGCCGCGTGGCTGAATGACCAGCCGGAGGTCTCCCACGCTGCAGCCAGCTTGCCCAGATCAGGCCTCTGCTGATCCTGATGTGATGCCGCCTCCCTGTTCCTCCTCCTTGGAAACTTGTGCAAAGAGCTACAGCCATTCCATGGCCAGAAGATGGAGGCACCAAGATTTGCACGCAGTATACAGTTTTACACTGACACTTCTCTGTCTGGCTTGATTCCCTCTTTTTTTTTTTTTTTGCGGTATGTGGGCCGCTCACTGTTGTGGCCTCTCCCGTTGCAGAGCACAGGCTCCAGACGCGCAGGCTCAGTGGCCATGGCTCACGGGCCTAAATGCTCCGCGGCACGTGGGATCTTCCTGGACCGGGGCACGAACCTGTGTCCCCTGCATCGGCAGGCAGACTCTCAACCACTGTGCCACCAGGGAAGCCCCTCCCCTTTTTTTAAAATTTTAATTTTACTGAAGTATAGTTGATTTACAATGTTGTGTTACTTTCTTCCGTACAGCAAAGTGACCCAGATATATACATATATATAAATGTTTTCATATTCTTTTCCACCATGGTCTGTCACAGAATATTGAATATATAATAGTTCCCTGTGCTATATACAGTAGGACCTTGTCGTTCATCCATCCTATATATATATCCATCCTATATATATTAGTTTGCCTCTGCTAACCCCAAACTCTCATTCCCTCCCTCCCCCCAACCTTGGCAGCCACAAGTCTGTTCTCTATATCTGCGAGTCTATTTTTGTTTTGTAGATATGTTGATTTGTATTGTATTTTAGATTCCACATATTAGTGATATCATATGATATTTGTCTTTCTCTGTCTGACTTACTTCTCTTAGTATGATAATCTCTAGGTCCATCCATGTTGCTACAAAGGGCATTATTTCATTCTTTTTAATGGCTGAGTACTATTCCATTCTTTTTAATGGCTGAGTACTATGTACCACATCTTTTTGTCCATGCATCTGTCGATGGACATTTAGGTTGTTTCCATGTCTTGGCTATTGTAATGTTTCCCTTTTTTGAACCATCAGACTGTGAATTCATCAGACTGTGAATACAGATGATATCTTATTCATTTTGATGCTCCCAGAACCCAGAGCTAGCACTGAGTATTTATGTTTAATATTAAGATTTATTAATCAATAAATGCTTATTTATGGAAAAAAAATATTAACTAAACTGAAACCACTATAGAAAGACGGCAGGAATTTCACCCTACTCTCCTAAATGCTAAAGAATGGAGTGCTTATGGCCTAGTCTTAAAAGTACAGATCAAAAAAGTCAACATACAGCTATTATATTACAAGCTATTTCTAGTATGAGAAATAATGAGAAGGTCAGTTTGATTTGAAGATAAATAAGTTCCTAGAGGGCTTCCCTGGTGGCGCAGTGGTTGAGAGTCCGCCTGCCGATGCAGGGGACACGGGTTCGTGTCCCGGTCCGGGAAGATCCCACATGCCACGGAGCGGCTGGGCCCGTGAGCCATGGCCGCTGGGCCTGCGCGTCCGGAGCCTGTGCTCCGCAACGGGAGAGGCCACAACAGTGAGAGGCATGTGTACCGCAAAAAAAAAAAAAAAAGTTCCTAGAAATAAACGGGGTAAACCATATATAACACACTGGGTTCTCCTCGGCCTACTATGTCCAAACTCAAATTCTTAGGAAAGGAGGAATACATTAGAATGGCATTTATCTTAAATGTTTGTTGTTTAGAAGCATGCCTCCAAAAATGACTCCTGATAATAAAGAAGACGCACTCTTGTGGAAAGCTGGGAGTTTAGGCTTAATTAAGCCCTTGCAGAAAACGTGAAACTTTTTTGAAGCTTCCTCTTTCATTCAGGTGACATTACAGTTTTTTCCCAGTTAGTGAATGATAAAAGCAAGAAATGAACAACTGAAAATCTAGACTGTGAAAACTTAATTCAAAAGTTTGTTCTTGCCCTTTTTTGGTGAAACATTCCATTTACACGAAATGTTACAAAAAATTTGTCAGTAACTTTGTTAAATTGTAATTTAACAATAGTAATTGACTAAAATTATTCCAACCTTGTAAGCCTGAGACACAATATAAAAACTATCTTTAAAAACAAAAATGGAACAGATTCAGAGAAGAAAGAAAGTTGGCCTAAAAAAGTTGCAAGAAATTTGAAAGAAGTCATACGTCCGCTCACACTGATGAGTACTTACCCTTCTCCTGTTAAAGCACAGCAGGACTGAATGTGCCATGGATGATCCTTAATTGAACTGAGGGTGAGGTATTTAGAGATTTCAGCTGCTGTCATACACCCTTTCATATCCTGTTTATTGGCGAAGATAAGGACTGCAGCTTTCCGTAAATCCTGCAATCAACATGAAATATTTCTAATATGTGAAATATCACAATTCAAATTAAAGTAATGAAGCAGGAGGATAAAATATGCCCTACTGAACAATTATTATGAAATCTTTCTACTTTAAAATAATCAGGCACTACTATGTAATATAAAAATTTTGTTGAAATAAAAATAAATGACCTCAAATAACCATGATTTAATGATTTACTCTAACAAAGACAGATTAATATAAACTAGATATTAAAAATTATTTTTCTACTATTGGGCCAAATGGGTCAAACTAAAAGTAAAATAAACCTGAATCTGAAATAATGACTTAAAACTATATGAGCACTATTCTAATAGGCAAGTATAGTATACACTGCCAAATACTACAGAATTTCTCCAAAATTTAAAGGAGAGTACTGAAGGTAAGGGCTGGGCAATACTTACTACTTAAAGTCTTTGTACAACCTAAGTTCAGTGATTAATGTTCACTGCAGAATTGTTTATACTATCAAAACATTAGAAGTAACTTAAATGTTCATTAATAGAAGAACAGATCAAGTGTGGTATCTTCTTACAGTGAAATACTATGTAGTTGTTAAAAGGAATGAACTAAAGTTGTACATACTGCAGTGGATAAATCACAGTGTTGTGCAAAAACCCTCCAAAACCAAGTTACAAAAAGATTACACACACACACACACACACACACACACACACACACACACAGACACAATACCATCATATAAAGTTTTATGAACATGAAATATAATATTCTGTAGAACTGACAAGTACATAAAAATGTAGCAAAAAGATCAAGATACGCACAGGAATAATAATCACTACTTTTAGGATGGTGGAATTCTTTTAGGATTCTCTGAGAAACAAGGGAAGGAAATCAGATTGAAGAGGTCTCATAAGATAATTAATATCTTATGTTGACTAGTGGGTGCATGAATGTGTTTTATTATCTAAGTCTTTCATATATATGAACTATTTAGAATTAAGTAATCCCAAATTATTCACTAAAGAATTTTCAGTTATTATAAACTGTAGGGAGGAAAAAAACCTTAAATTTTCCTTTCTCTTGCCTCAATTTATCAGACTTTCAAAGGCATGACTAAGTAGTTTTAACCTAGAAAAATATTTTCAGTAATGGTATTAGTCTCCAAATTAATGTGTTCGGTTTTCTTAAGTTTGAAAAAGTATTAAAAACTTTTGACCTCATGACTTTCATCAATTTGATATATAAAACTTTGTTAATGATGAAATAATCAACAGCAGAGGACATTAATCTTTGTGAAAAAGCTAAACCAGTGTACAGATACCTTACTCCATTTGTTTTACGTTTGCTTTTCAAAATTTACCTCGTGAGCCAACATTCTATATAATTCTTCTTTCGTAATAGCTAGTCGTTCCCTGTCAATGCTGTCAACCACAAGAATGATGAACTAGAAGACAAGTAAAAAGAAAGAAAATTAAATGGGATGTTGAAGTTTTCTGCAAAACTACTCTAAGTGCTAGAAGTACTTTCTATTATGACATCATCACTATAAAATGGTCCACTGCTTTTTCATCATAAAGAGTTTATATTATACTGAATCACATCAAGCAGTAAAATCCAAATGTTAATAAGAAAAATACTCACAACTTCAACAAATAAAAACCATGCTGGAAAAGGTGATGTTTGAATATACAATATGCCCTAATATGTACTAAGATTTATTTTAAAATGCAGGTAAAAAAAGTAATTTTTAAAAAGAAAGTCACAGTAATTTATTCTTTCACTAAAACTTAAAAGTACTCTGTAGTGGGCTTCCCTGGTGGCGCAGTGGTTGGGAGTCCCCCTGCCGATGCAGGGGACGCGGGTTCGTGCCCCGGTCTGGGAGGGTCCCACATGCCGCGGAGCGGCTCGTCTCGTGAGCCATGGCCACTGGGCCTGCGTGTCCGGAGCCTGTGCTCCGCAATGGGAGAGGCCACAACAGTGAGAGGCCCGGGTACCGCAAAAAAAAAAAAAAAAAAAAAAAAAAGCATCTTTGATAAGAAAAATAAGAAGATACAATGAGAAAGGGCCCCTAAATTGAACATTTTATGCAGAAGAAAAAGTTAAGAAATGAGATTAAATGGTTTTGAGGGTTATAGAAGAGGAGTGAGTAAACAGACAGGAAGGGTAGAATCAGATTGTTCAAATGACTACAATTAGGGAAAGAGACAACTAGAGTAACCTGAATATAAACTAACAAGGGCTTAGAAAGAGATACAAGGAAAGAAAATAGAGGGGATAAATATAAGAAACATGGAAAAGTCAGAATAGACAGAATATGGGGAAGTAACTCTGTAAGTTAATGAGAGGAAGATGTCAGAAATTAGTCAACAACTGTAACTTGCTGTATTAAGAGGGAGACATTTCAGCTTTTGGATGATGCCTCCATGCAAAGAATTTAAGAAGCGAGATAAGTAGGGTGAACAAAGTGGTCGGAGAAACACCACATAGATTAGATCCCTACCTGGAATCTAAGACTGCAAATGCTATGTGCCATGCTGGTGTGCTACATGAAAGGTCAAAGGATCTTTGTAGTAATTTTGATATTCTTGTAGAAATAGTTTATAAGAACATTTCATATAAATGGCATCACTAACAATGTATATCTTTCTGGACCCATGTGAAATCTTCTAGAGTGTTGACAATTTCAAAAAACTACCATTTAGTAATGCTATCAATATACAGGGATCAGTTAGAACCAACTTTGACCTATTCACCAAAGATAACTGGTCTTTTCACACTTGGGGTTAATTCTGAGCTCTGAAAAAATAACAACAGTTATGCTAAAATGTTGTTCTTCCCTTACTCTCTAACACATTTTAGTTTCAGAACGTTATTTTACTGTAGGAATATATATTAAACTAACCTATAACCATAAATATTAGCTTACCAACCTATCCTCCCCCGCAAATAGAAAAAAAATTAAGTGCTGCCACAGCTGCTGCTTATCTATGATATGCCATCTGGTTTGACCAGTCATACACTGCACTGGAATATATACACACATACACATAGGCTATTACAATGTAAATCTAGAGGAATACATGTTTATTTATTTTAAAAGGCAACTTATTCACCAAAAATTCCTTGCATCAACACTTCCACCTCCTCCGCAATCCCCCTCAAAAAAAAAAAAAAAACCTCAAATTTTAAGAGGTTTCATTATAGAAAAAGTAATTGGTTTGGTACCTCTTTGTAAAGCAAAATTATGGATGCAATTGTGCATTAGTATTCCTGAAGATAAACCTCTCTCAATAGCACTGCATGGTTTAAAAAAAAAATCTGAGAAGAAATAAAAACAGATATAGAAGATATTCCAGATTTGTTCCCCGGGTCGACTCCAATGATGAAAATAAGTGACAAAGAATGCTAGGGGGATGGCTTGCAAATCATCTGCTTTTTAATTATAATCTCACCAAAAATTTGAATGTGCAATTCATGTTATTTGAAAATCCTATATTAAATTATGCTTAAAATATTTTACTCCTCCTCTAACTAACTAGGGCCTCTTATAAAGTTGGGAAAGGTTATATAATTTATCTTAGTGTCTGCTGTCTCCAACAATGGAGATATTATAGTATTGCCCTGAGGATGAATTGAGAGAGCCTGACAACAGTAAGCACTCCACTAATAATAGCTCCCATTACTCTTTTGACTTGCCTTTTTTCTTTTATCTGAAAACCTCAAATTCCTTACAAAAAACGATCTTATTAAAAGGGAACTGTCACTATGCCTTATGTACAGCCTATCTGTCTTCTGGGTTTACCCCTTAGTTCTTTTCATTCAAATTCGGAAGTAACTTTAGTATACCTCTGTGTTTGAGTAATACGTGTTCCAGGATGATCGCAGTGACTCTTGACCACCAATATCCCACATAAGAAAATGAGTGTTCTTCACAACTATTTCTTCAACATTGCTTCCTATGGTTGGAGATGTATGAACCACTTCATTCATTAAGCTGTTAAAAGACAGACACCATAAAAACTCTTTTGTAAATCTTGAGAACCTAAAGCAAGTTTTATCTCTGTATTTTTATACGAATCAACCTTCCTTACCTGCACCAATGATGGTAATCGCTAGCAACAAAACTAGAACCTTGGAGAACATTTGTGCAGACAAATACCTAGACAAAGAACAACTCCTGAAGAAAGGCAGTTTTTTTTGTTCTTTTAATGGAATAAACTACAGGCTTGATCTGGACAGAAGGGAACTGTGTGGTGTGAGTTTGCATTTTCGTGGCCAAAATGCCAATAACCCCATGCCCTGTTATCGGTTAGAGCAGAACCAATCCCCCATCCTGAAAGAGCAAGTTTCCAGGGGACTGTGTCATCAACACTTGCAAAGTAGTAACCACTGAATAGTAGGCTATCATTTTAAAGACTGTCTATGTGAGAAAAGACACTTAGCTCAACCATAAAAATCAGTGCATGCCTATTAACGAAAACTACAGTCTATGGGCAAATGAAAAGTTATTTAGAACACTGATGCTCATATCACATGTATTATCATACTCATTGGTTAAGCTACATTAATTAATTCAACAAATACATATTTGCCTATAACATGTCAGTACTATGTTGGAAGAAGTCTGCAACTCTCCCTTGGGTTTAATATATGTATTTTTGAAGCTGTGTGCAAAATTATTTCAACAATGATGACAGGTTTCTGAAATGTTCATTTCTAATGTCCAAAGGCTGTGTCATATTAAATTACATAATGGCCAATGAATGAATGTTTTAAAGAAAAACGAGTAGTTATTCAACTCTGAAACAACAAGCCATAAGTTTGTGGCTTTTTAGCAGAGTAGCTGAAAAAAACATTAAGCACTGCTTAAGTGAAGTACTTCTGGAGAGCTGCCAGCTGATGTACTTAAGATGAGGTGGGAAGAGATAAGAAGCACACAATGGAGCACTGTATTTCATAACTATTTGTTAAATGCCTGGGACACAGATCCATTTCCACTGTTTAACAAGGATCATTTCATTGGCACTGAAAGGATAATGGGAGGTTGTCTGACAAGTGGCTGCTAAAAAATTTCCTTAAAGTATTAATGTATTTCTCTGAAAGTCTCAAGCCTCTTTCTGTTGCAAGCTACCAAAGCAATATTTTCAGGGGCGATCTTCATTTCTTTTGATTTGACAAGTCTGGGTATGTTAAAGAATTCCAGGACTATTAGTCAGGAGAGTAGCAATAGCTTCCTAGATCGATATCAGTCTATTTTACATGGACTTCAGAGGGGGAAGAACTAAGCAAAATGTACTTTATTCCTTCCTTCCAGCACTAGAATGTGTGCTTCATTTATTTTTAGTTTAATATTAATTCTTTCTTTCAAGGCTGGAAAAAGATGAGTGTTTTTGACTGTAGCAAACATACGGCAGTTTACCTTACTCACTTTTTAATAAATTTTGTGTTTGGTAAAACACAAAACCATGTGTTTAAGTTTTCCCATTATATTATAATGGTATCTCATTCTTATTAATGATACAAAATTAGCTCCAATAACAAAAATAATAAAAACTGTTTAAATAAACACCCATACTTACAATTGATAAAGAATGGTGGTTTTCCCTGCGTTATCCAGTCCCACTATAATTACTTTGTGTTCTACAAAAAGAAAGCAAACCATAAGCATTTAACACTGCTGCATACTTCAATTACATGCTTTCAACAATGATTATTAGTTAGCCCTCTAATGAGAATCATTCACTGGATATTTACTCCTGGAATAAGATACCGGAAATAAAGAGAACTTCATGATGTCAAGGCTACTTGCCTTAAGTGAGGCAATCTATTAGGACGTTCTCTATCCATCTCTTATAAAAGAATGAGGGAGATGGCTAAGAGGGAGGCACAACTTTGTCACTTTTGCTGAATTTGGGGGGAAAAACCCAAATACTAAACTTGATGAGACATTATGACTTAAAATATAAGTAAAAATAAAAGTGTTTTACACACCTGCTTGCCCTCTCTACCAATCACATTAGCTTTTTATCAAGTTGTTTTTACAGCCAGACGTTTTCCTACCTAAATGTACCAAGATTTTTTCTTTTCACTTTAAAATACAATTGAAAACATAAAACTAAAGAGTTTTCCCTGTCAATAATAAGGCACATAATTTCAACCAGTTTTCATTCCTTCCATTAATTTACAGATAAATAAGCAATTACTTAGTCTTCAAGGCTTTTTCAATCTGGGTTTTATAACTCTTTTGAGCAGATACTGTTTTCACTCTTTGTATACAACAAAAACCTCTTCAGTTCCCTCCTCTGGTGCCATCGGCTAAAAGTATCATTTCTTTCGTAAGGATTTTTAAGGCCCATCTAATTATTCTGTTACTTGGTAGATATTTTGAAACATCCTTAGAACTCACAGGTCATCTTTTCTAGATTTTAAACTATACAGAATATATTGAAGATTCCTTTTCCCCAGGACAGAATGCTTAAAAAGTTACTAGTGAAACTCAGCAGGGTATGCAAGGAAGTCACCATAAGAACCTCTGCACATAATCAACTGATTTGTAGTGAATCTGACACATTTCATACCAGATCCCTGCTGCTCTTGTTAACCTCTGATGAATATCAAAATTCTGATTATACATCTAATCAAATATCAGCTGATATTCCTAAAGTATCAATATTACATCAGTCCAAAAGAGGAGCCATAGTTCACAGACAAGTTCTTATATGACAAACCATCTTTCTATCTTCTCATGACCTGCATGCTGTAGGCACTGTCTATATTAATGCAGGACAAATGACATGGTCCTCTGGAAGGGCTGTTTTCACTATGGCAGGAGCTACTTTGTAAAAAAATAAATAAAACTTGTTTGCTTATTATAACTCAGTATCATTCTCTCTTTCTGACTCTTTTGATTTGTATCCCCTAATTTCTAATGGAGCCAATCGAAGTGTTGCCCTGTTTCTGTCCCTTACAGTGTGAGAATGAGAGCACTCTTACCAGTGGAGGAACAAACATTCTAAATTTTGGTGAAATTTTGGTGACAGCTGGAAACTCCACCCACCCACGATCTGGAGACCACGTGGTCCCAGCGGCTTGAGAAGGAAGCCACTAGTATAAAGGTAATCTCAACCTGGGTGCAGATACTCCTGCTGGGAGGAGGGAATGGAAAGATAGTACCAGGTAGTACCATCATTGTTGAACTCAAGTGAACACCAGGGCCATTTTCAAACGTGCCTGCCCCTGGCTTCACATTTGTATTATAATGATGATCACAGTACTGAAGGCCTGTGATGGTAAAACTCATAAATAATGCATCATTTTGAAAGATTGGTCCCCCGTTTAAACTAAGTCAGGAATGACAAACCCTGAATGTAGATAGAGTATGAATTTCATTAAAGTTTCAAATGTTTGATTAACTTAAGGTTTTTTAAGGTGACTTTTCCTCCTCATTGATAGGCAAGTCTAGGAATTAAGACAAAACACAAAATTTCAACTCTGTCTTATGATGAAGTATGTATATCTATCCTTCAGGTAAACTGAGACCTATCTTCTGATGTTCAAATTGAGTTTATATAAAAAAGTAACAGTAAAGGAACAGCTAAGTGCTTAAAAGCATGAAATAAACAGAAGTTTATTTTAAATCTTTTCTTTGAAAACTGTCTTTAACATTATCTATACAATAAGAGTAAAGTCAAGTTCAAAGAGCATTTACTAAAAAACCAAGTACAAAATAAAAGCTATTTGTACTCTATGCACAACTGTAATTCTTCTTTCTTTTTTCAAATGCCTCTGTTGTACTTAGCTGCTACTTGAGTATGTCAGTGACCAAAGACTTCATTCAGTTCACAAATGTTTTTAAAGTTTTTACCTATTCAAGGAACAATGAGAAAAATACGGAAAGTGACACATATTCTCTTGTTATTGAAAATAAAATTAATGTTGCTTTAAATGTCCCCAAGTGGTATCTAGATTAATTAAGTATAAAGTTTCTTGAAGGTATTATTGAATCACAGTGCTCTATCAAATGTTCACATCAGTACATACCAAAAGCATAACTATGATCACACAGTAGTGCATATTACTTGATGTTAAAAGGGGGCCCTCATGCTTGAAAAACATGACACAGGGGTGCTTGTTCTGTACTGCTGTCTTTCTGGTTGGGCATAATCAACAGGCCATATACAAATCTTATCTTATGTACTGAAACACAAAAGATCAACTAAGCTATGTAACTGTCAGAGTGATTTCCTATAGAGTAGCTTTGATAAAAACAATTTCCTTTGCCTGTCATAATTAACTAAAGCAGATGTGGAAAGATGGTTTTATTATGTATTTATCTAATAGGTTAAAAAAAAAACTTTCAAAATATATCAGTTATGGTTCAAGTCAGTCTCAAATTAAGGTGAGAAAGGCTTTATGCCAAAGGTCAAATTGTGAATTGCTGCCACTGAGAAAAACATGAAACGTTTTAACATCATTTTTATTTACAGAGCAGGAAGCAGAGATTTCCATTTCACTAAAATTGAAATTTCTAAAGTTATGAGGAGAAAATTATACAATTGTATACTTTTACAACTTCAACTGCTCTTCAATATGTATATCTAAGCCATATATTCTTAATTTCCAACTCTTCAAATTACTCTCCATGAAAACAAAATATTTAGTTGACGGACTGAAACAGTTATTTCTCAGTTAACCTTAAAGAGGGCAAACTATAACATGGATAATACTAAATTCTTTATTTAGAATGGACTTCACAAATGTAATTATAGAAAATTTATTTTTTCCCAATGTTTACCAATAGCATTATTAAAAAATATATGATGTTAGAGTAATAGGCTGACCACGCTTAGGGGTAGGAATGTGCGTGTTGGGGACGGGGCGTGTACAATTTAAGATGATTTGTGGATAGCTAAATAATTTTGGGTTAAGCATTACCATAAGAATCAGAGTTATAAGGAATCCAAATGTTTTAAAAGTGTCTGCACACCACGAGATGGTCACTTTGGGCATCTTATTTCACGAGAAATCTCTTCCAGGAGACCAAGCTGCACCTCTCCTCATAACAAAGGTGTGAGAAGAGTATTTCCAGTGTTACTAATGATGCATCTCCAGAGCCCAACACAAAGCAAGTTTATTTACATCAAATGAAGGAATGCTCATCACAGAGCTTTTGTTTAATTTTGACCAAGTGTTTACACATAAGTTTCTCTATTGGCTTGGCTTTGGTGTTTATTCTCTTGGATTTCCTTAAAAGCCGGCTTTACTTTTCTTTTCTTTTTTTTTTTTTTTTTTAGGGAAGGCATAAAGACATGCCTTTACAGGATGAAGCTTCAAAGCAAATTAGTAAGCTCACTTGCTTGTAGACAAATACAGGTTAAATGGCTAACAAGAAAAATGATGAAAAAGGAACTTGAAAAAAAATAAGTAAAAGAAAAACAACAAGAAAAAAAAGTTTCTCCCTTTACCCAATTAGAAAAATTTTTTTTATAAACTCAGTTTGTAGTTTTAGTACAGATACCAAACAAATAGAATTTGTAGTTTTAGTACAGAATACCAAACAATGAAAACAGACTCACATGAGAAAAGCATTAGAGAAGCACTAAATATTGGCAGTGTTAATAAACTGTGAAATAATATGTTAACATTTATTTTATCATGTTAAAATTGGATATTGTTAAAGTATATGACAAAATGACTAACTTTTAATTTTGAGATATAAGATAGCCACCCAAATATCATGAAATAGGGATTGCTACCTTCTAGATACATAATACCTGCACTAAAATTGTTATATAATGAGGACAAGCCCTATGTGAACACAGAGTATGTAAACAACTATATAACTAAACAAATAAAAATGCCCTATGCCAAATCTGGTGACTTAAAATTTGAAATACTGCATTTACAGAAAATAAGTTTGCATTATTGCAATAGGTAGGTAGTAAAATGTCAGAGGATGTGATGTCACAACCTGAGACCTGAAGTCCTGGACAGCAACGAGGAGCAGTCTGCCTCTTGGAGAGAACAAAAAGAAAGAAAAAGGAGAGCTATAAAAAACTCTGTCTTATATTATACTTATTATAGAATCATAAAATACCACAGCTTAGAAGAGACTGCAGAACGTGAGATCTACTCCTTCTCTCCCACTTCTTCATCAACAAATGTGTTACCTATATGGCAACTTTGAGGAACCCAGGTCTCCAAAAATGCACAAAACTACTGACCTGGGCCACCCTGCGTATTTTACAGATAAAGAAATTACAGGCCTATGAAGTTAAAAAAAAAAAAAAAAATCAACCCAAGATGCTATTTTCAGCAAAAATACACTTCAGGAATGAAGGGAAAAAAAGACATTTTCAGATAAAAGAAAACTAAGAGAATTCATTTACCTGCAAAACCACACTACAAAAATGGTAGAGTTCTTCCGCTTGAAAGGAAATTCACAAGATGGAAATTCAAAACATGAAAAATAGTAATGTGGGTAAATATAAGAGAAAATTTTACCCTCTCTTAAAACTTTAAAGAACATGTGATTGTCTATGGCAAAAATTATAACACTGTATTGTGCAGTTTATAACATATGTAGATACAATACAAATAACATGTAAGCTGTATGGTTATAAACGACAAGGGAGGAGAGT